GGAGGGGGGAATTGAGTCTGTTGTACCAGACACCAGACCTTGAGAATATGCTGGTCTGGAATGGCTCTGTGCCTCACCTGAACCATCCAATAGAAATGACTCTGTACTTTGCCTCATTTGAATGACTCTGTATTTCACCTCATTTGAATGACTCTATACTTCGCCTCATTTGAATAACCCTGAGTAGCGCCTCATTTACATTGACCAATGGGAATAGCTCTGTACTGCGCCTCATTTGAATTATCCAATAGAATCCCTGCTTCTCGCTTACGCTTTTTTGCTATATAAGGACCCCTCTCCCTTGGCTCGGCGCGCTTGGCCTCACAGAAGCTAAGTCGCCCCGGGTACCCGTGTCTCCAATAAAGCCTCTTGCAGTTTGCATCCAAGTTCGTGGTCTCGCTGATTCCTGGGTACGGGTCTCCTTCTACGAAAGTACCTCTTGGGGGGACTTTCACCGATATTGTTGATTATTTGTCCCTTGTGGTGGGGCAAGATGCGTTAAACTCTTGTAGCTTAGTGTCTATACAGGTCCCTGAACAGAACATTGCCAGCACCTACAAAGACGAACTAATTACAATGCCTCTCTTCCTGTCTGTCCCCCTACTCACCAATCTATTATCTGTCTTATATCTATCTGTCATCTATTTATCTATATATCTATTTACCTATCATCTTTCCATGTATCTATCATCTATGTACAATTTTCTTTATTTATCTATCATCAATCATCTTTTTCTATCTCTCATATACTAATTCAATCACTTGCATTTGTATATTTTCAAGATGAATCTTCCATCCTTGTTCTCATTTGTGCTATGCATGACTGGGCAAGTTTCCAGTTGCCCTGGGCACCATCACTTCCCTATGGTCAGGAACACAGCTTCTTTTCCCATGTCTCCTAGACATGCTTACTAAGAATCATGGCATCCTGTAGGGGAAGCTGTAGCCACGCCTACTTAGGGGCTGGCTACAGGTGTGCCTGACCACGCTTGTGAGGGCGTGGTCAGAGTGACGTAGTGTGACTGCGTTTGTGCTTTCGATTTCACTTTGCTTCTTGCTGTACAGACTGATGCCACGCCGGCTGGCTAGGTCTCTCTGTAAGTAAGGATTTTCCCTATTAAATACCCTTATATTTTTACCTGACTCCGTATTGGTAATTTCCCACTATAGCATCCCAACTGTTTGTTTAGCTGAAGTAAATTCCAAGACATGAAAGTAGATCCCTTGATTCCATGCCACTCTTCCTGTCCATTCCAGACAGAAACAAGAGGAACACCATGGTAGAAGACTTGGTAGTTCTTGTGCGAGGAGGGACAAGTGAATACATCACCACCTTGGCATACAGAGAGCTGCCAACAGCTGAACTGATGCGGGAATGGGGAGATGCTGTGCAGTACAACCCAGCAATTATCAAAATCAAGGTACGTGCAGCCACTACCCCCACTCCACCTCTGTGTGGAACATTGGTTCTGAGAATCTACTGTGAACTGTGGAGATCATCAAGGCACAGTCCCCAATCTTGAGTTACTCACATTATAGGAGAAATAGATGTGGGAAGAACAGGTTAGAACACAGCACTCCATGCCACCTGAAGATTCCAAACTCATCCCTTGGGCTCCAAGTTACTAAGGAAATTAGCATTTGCCATGCTATAGGAAGATACCAGAGGAACACAAAGACATGACAAGGTGAAAGAGGCACCTAGGAAGGACAGCAAATCAACAGCATGCATACCCATCTCCTAGGATAGGACAGGATGTCATAATGGTAACTAAGGTGTTTGAAGCACCTACTGAGTTTACAGTGTTCTGCTAGGGTATTAGGAATATTACCTAGAGTAATGCTTTCTTGTCTGCATGTCAAATGTGTTTGCCTTCTTTTGTGGCAAGTCAAGGGTCAGAAAGGTCATGCCAATCTGCGGCTGTTCAAGAATCTCTTAGGTCTAGACAAAAGAGTCTTCTTTTCTCCCCCATATGGGCTTGGGGGATAGGAAAATAATGATTCTCACCACCTGACTCCCACACAAGAAGAATCCTGCAACTGTAAATAAACTAAAGAGATGCTTGTTAAAACAGGACTGTCACAACACATCAGCAAAGGTAGGTCCTTGCCTGTGGGGACGTCTGCATGGTACCCATAGCATGCCTTACATCACTCTCTTCTTGCTGGTGCCTCTACTGTCATTGATGGATCATTATTTGCCCCTGAGAGTTCTCTTTGCAGTCAAAGAGGGTAACTGGGAGACTGGACCTAGTTGAGAGACTCTGCAGTCCTGACCCTGATGATTTTCCAACAGGACCTGTATTTGTGTGTCAAGTGCATGACTCCACAGAACAAGAAGGCTGTCATTCAATACTTCTGTATTTTGTCACTAGTGACACTCACTGCAAATCACTGACAATCACGAGAGAGATCCAGCTAGCCATGGGTTGCAGGTAGCTCCAGAGGAATTTAAGATTGACTGATGCCATGGTGACATTAGATGGCATCACAGCCCAGTGTGAGAGAGGACAGGGAGTTCAGATAAAACTAGGCATCTGAATTTGTGTTCTGTACTATGATATCCTATCTGATATCTGTTAAAACTGAGACCTAGGGAGGATGGTGGCTTGGTTACCCAGTGAGGCCAAATGTGCCTGCCTGGGCTAGGGATTGATAAGGTCAAACTGGTTATATCAAGTGGGGCATGATGGAGGAGAGTGATGTAAGGAGCACAGCAGGAGAGGTGAAGAAGTGCAAAAGACTTCCATGCACCTCTGTGCATCTGTCATCTGCTCTGCAAGCATGTTTATCCATCCCCTGCTTCAGGCATTCTCTCTGGTCTCAGAAACTGCAGGCTGCCTTCACATTGTCTCAGAATATGGCCTCTTCACAGAGGCAGCTTTCCAGGAGGAGTGATGGCTGATTTTTCAGGACAGCAGAGCCTACTGGATAAACAATTCCTATGCTACTGCCTGGGTATAATAAAATGCCCTTTGAGAAGACCTGAGATGAGATTTCTGCAGATGCAAGGTATGCAAGCAAGAACTAGCTCATGTTATTTCCTGGTAAACACAGACAGGGAGAGGTGGCACCTTGTTAAAAGAAGAGTTAGAGATGGCAATGGATAAATAAAGAGATTTTTTTAGAACAAAAAAGATGGAAATTATGTTCAAGCTGCAGAAAATGAGCACATGTCTATAAAATAGAAAAATGGAAGTAAATTTGAGAATGCATTTGCTTTGTGACAACAATAAAATTCAAGAAAATGAGGAATTTATGAAATAAAAATAGAAGCTGAGCTGTTTAGACACTAATCAGATGAAAAGAAAGTAGCTGGATGTGGGGAACCAAGAGCTCAATGGCAGAATTAAAACCCACATTGGAAACTATAAAGAACAGAATTGACACTGCAGAAAATTGAGTCAGTGATGTGGAAGGTACTATAAAAATGCTCTTATAATGCAGAAACAAAAGACAAAGAGATTAAAACAGTGATGTAAAAGAAATATGATGGATAGAGTACAGAAGGAGAAATCTAAGACACAAAGACTCCTTCCTGAGCAAGCGACAAGATTAAATGTGCGCACACATTCATCAGGTACACAGTGGAGAACCTGCCCTGCACTGACAACACAGGATGAACACAGAATTGAAACCTGAGCAGAAGTACTGAACACAAAACAATACTGCAACACACCCTGCTGACATGTTTTGCTTTTAGGAACAAATGTATCCCCCAGGAGTAAAAAAATCAAACACTGAAGCCATTATAACACGCAGTGTACCAGAGACCCTGGTCTTTAAAGGGAACAACTTGCAACCTGGTAAGATGTTCCTCATCGGGTGAACTCCAAAGGCATTTTGAGACAAAACAAAAAAGGGTTGTCAGACTTAGCTGATGAAAATACTGAGTATCCAGCATTGAACTTCAGATAAATAAGGAATGATTCTCTTGGGATAAAAATCTCTGGTGTATTGTACCAAATGTACTTATTCTTCAATTATTCCTTGTCTGACTTTTAAATAGAATTGGCCTGTCATCTGCATATGCTTCTGCATAGGTCAAGGTAGCAAGGTGGTAGGGTTGGACTAAAGCTGACGATGACTTTGCATTGTCTAGGGTAGAAGAAAACATATGAGTGGTGCTTACACAGAGGTCATACTACAGAGAAACAACCTCAGCATCTTAGTTCAATATGAGTTAACTTCCCAATTACACATGCCCAAGAAGTATTGGGAAGAGTGTTCCACCAATATGGACATTCAAACACTCAGACACAGATGATAATGTCTCTGAAGATTGCCAGAAGTCTTAAGTTACTTCTCTCTCTGCTCCTACTCACCTGTCAGTGGTCAGAACAAGTCACTCTAAAAGCCTGCTTCTGAGGACCTTCGTCTGAAGACCTCAGCCCTACCATAGAAAAATCTGCCTCTGAGGACTTACAGTCCTATTATGTGCAAACTTTCCTCTAAAGAGATGTACCCCTACTCTGTGCAATTCTGATTTTGAGAAGCTACAACTCTACATGTTCCTCTCCTGAGATGAAGCCCTACTATGTGCAAAACGGCTTTGGAGGATCTTCAGTCCTATCACATATGAACCTGCTTTTGAGAGGCTATATCCAAAAGGAGGGCTGAAATCTTTGATAAATAGTACTAATGCTTTCAAGAAGCAAATTCATTCAAAAGATTTTCTTGATGCCAGGCGTTGGTGACACACGCCCTTAATCCCAGCACTGGAGAGGCAGAGGCCGTCAGATCTCTGTGAGTTTGAGGCCAGCCTGGTCTCCAGAGCAAGTGCCAGGATAGGCTCCAAAGCTACACAGAGAAACCCTGTCTCGAAAAACAAAACAACAACAACAAAAAAAAAAAACAGAAAGAAAGAAAGAAAGAAAGAAAGAAAGAAAGAAAGAAAGAAAAGAATTTTGAAGCAAAAGAAGATATAAAATGCAATGTGTTAACCATTTCAGCTAGGGACTCAGAAGATAACTCACTATACAATCATGTAGACCTGAGTTCAGTCCCCAAGAGCCCTTATTTAAAAAAAAAAAATAACAAGTGGTGGGCTGCATTTGTAATCTAGGTGCTGAGAAGGCAAAGATAGGCAGATTGCTGGGCTCATTGGCCAGCTAGCCTAGCCTAATCAGTGAGCTCCAGGACAGTGAGAGAGTGTCTCAAAACAACACAAGGTGCACAGCTCCTGAACATCATCACCCAAGGTTGACTCAAGGTGTTCTTGTGCACCAACATGAACACATACATGATGTGTGCATCTGCATGTGTGTGCATGCACACACACACACACCACAAAAATGTTAGTAAGCAGGCAGATGGTTCACCATATGTGAACAATGACACAATTCATAAGAAGGATACAATCTCTAGAGAAATGGACACCCATCGGTTGACTAATAAATATCCAAACTTATAGCCTTTATCAATAAAACCTTTTAACCTCTCCAAATAAAATAACATGATAACAGTATTATTTTTACCTATCAAATTGACAGTGATTTAAAATCTGTACTTCTTAAAGCATTATGAGTACTGCGAGGGCCTTTTGTGAGCTAGGATGGCGATATAATTTGGCTGTAGTCTAGGAAGACATTTTAAACCAGTATCTTCATGCTATTAAAAATGTTGATGGTTTTTGATCCAATTATGATTTTTTATAAATATGTATAATTGCTAATCGGCTTTGGTTACTTGGAGTAGCATAAGCTAAAAAAGCAAAGATGCCAATTGAACCCTAAAAAACAGAGGAGCTGAATAAATAGCCAGTCTATCCATGTGTCCTGAAGCTATGGAAAGTCATTTTATCAACACAGGCTGAGTCACACAGGGAGAGCCTTATAAGTGAAAAGTTGAGATATAAAATTGCACTTATTTGCCAATTTGGTGTGATTATCTAACTGTCCATAGGCCTAAAAATATATGCTGACTAACAGGCAACAAACCACAGTATTAACAGTCCAAGCCCACCCTTGGTGGAGGTGACACCTTCGTCAGTCTACTTAGCTTTTCTGTGCCCCAGCTTTTTCAGCTGTCACAGAAGACACAAGACTACTCAATTCTCAGACTGCTATGAATGCTTAGGAATGCGTATGTAGTTCAGCTCCTTGTGGTGACTAGCCGTGGTGACAAATTTGATGTGGTTAAGAACACCAGGATTCACTGCAGAGATTTGCATGGACCATAATAGACATTCTCCAGCATCACCTCTAGATAGTGTGATAAAGGGCCAGTGTGTTAAAGCCCCAAGTGACCCCTGTAGTCAAGATTGAGTATCTAAGGGAGGGGGGCAGAAGAAAGAGGTAGAGGACTAGGGGAAGAGGAGGAAGGGTGGAAGGAGAATGGAGACAGGAAAGCAGACAGTAAGCAAATACTGGGCACAGCCATATTGGCCTAAATGTAAAGGGCTGCCCTGAAGCCCCATTGGGGTTTCTGCTTCACAAAAGCAAACTGTCATGGGAGAGCACATGGGGTGAGACTAGTGATGGGAACTCCTGAGTTGCTCATGTCAACAGTCAACCTAAAGTAGTAGGGAAAACACAGGCTTTGGACTCCAATCTTGGTGGTACCAGGATTGCCATCTTGGTGTTCTTGTTTGTTTGTTTTTCAATGAGTTGTGTAACCACCTGGAGCTTCCCCTCACCCAATAACTGTGCTAATCATCATCATCTCCTGAGGACAGGCCCTTTTCTGAAGCTTATCAGCTCCCAAGGTGCAGTGTATGTGGGAAGTTTATTCAGGGTTAGCTGCCGGCTAGCGCTGTGTCTCGGTAGGAAAACACCATGGTGGTTAAAGTAGGCCTTTCAAGGAGCTCAAAGCAAAAGCCAAAAGCTGACTGTTGAGAACCTTATCAGTGGTGTAAAGCAAGTGCCCCTCCTTCACCCTCCCCTGTGTGTGACCAGCAGGCTGGTCTCTCTGAAAACAGCCTCTGGATCAATTCATTGACCAAAGACCTGTGAGACAATGGGACCTCCAAGGGGCCTTGCTTTGCCCACTGGAGCGAAGGTCAGCGTCAGATGCATTAAGAAATGGAAGCAATTTTCTTCCCACTGGAGGCTTCTATTAGGCATGATTGCCTGCATTTAGACAGACCCTAAACTCTCCAGGGCTGAATTAGGACAGGATCACACACAAAATCTGGAGAGGAACCAGGCCCTGGAGCTGCATCCCTAGCCAAGAGGCCCCTAGAACAGGGCAAAACAGCAGTTTGGCCCTAGTCCTTCTCACCCATGAGGTCACATGCACTGATGCTTATGTGCAGTGACCAGCACCTGCGGTGTCTGCTGGTACTCTTCTAACCTCTGCCCTTTCCCATACCCACTGCCACTGCCTCATTCAGAAACACTTCGGCAAGCCATCTTCTTTACCCTTAATCTGAGACTGTGCCCAAAGAGGGAGAGAGAGAGTGGCACCAAGCCTCTCTCCACCCTGAAAACCATCAAACCAGAGAAGAGATGAAGGCTTTCTGGAGTGAGCTTTTGGATTGTATGAGTGTTTCCCATAGACCTGGAAGGGAATGATGCAAGGACAACAACCCTAAAGTATGCCAAAGAGCTTTCGAAGGATCACCTTCTAGGCACACCAAGACAGATGAGCCCCTTCACTGTCCCCCTCCCCCCACCCCCGTACTTCTCTGCTGGTTTGGTTCTTACTCTGTGAAATCGTATGGGGAAGATGCTCCTTGAGGCTCTGTGAGGTTGTGTCTGGATAAACCTATCATGAATTGAAAATATTGAGGCAGAAATGCATTGTACATTTGTGCCTAGCCCTTAGTAGGTATTCCTTGTTAATTGATTTGAACTTGAATTAAATGAACTTGTATCTCGCAGGTGGGGAAGGCAAGGAGGACAGGTGTCTACCTGCACGCTGAAGCATCTGTCCTGTCCCCTAGGAGCCCTCCTGCATTTTCATTGCCCTCCTTGTCCTTCCCCTGTATCTTTCCTTTGGCCTCTGGTCGATGTGTGTTTTGTCTCTTCTGTCCCAGGCTGAGCCCCTGTATGAGCTTGTGACAGCCACAGACTTTGCCTACTCCAGCACAGTGAAACAGAACATAAAGAAGGCCCTAGAGGAATTCCAGATGGAGGTCAGCTCCTGCCACTGTGCTCCTTGCCAAGGCAATGGAGTCCCTGTCCTGAAAGGTACTACTTTATAGAGCACTGGGTCCTTGGTGGAAGGCAGCACTTGGAGAGAGGCTGGTTCTGGTCACTTTTACTTCCCAATGGGTCAGTATGGTGGCAGCAATTCTGCTCTGGCTGTCAGGGCATCTGTACTCTGGCCTCAGGGGCATCATGGGTGACAGTACCAGTTAGTTGAAACTTGGAGCTGGGAGCATGTGGTCTACCTTTAGGCCAACTATTGATTTAGCCAAACTCTGGGCAAAGAAGAGGACCTGGGCTGACCCAAAGAAATCCTTTGCAAATGTCCTTGCCAATATGAGGTGAGATGATTTGAAGGTGGCATCATGGACAGACTAAAAAAAGAACTTGATACTAATTTTGGGGGGTCATACCCACAATCCTTACAATGGGTGGGGCAAACTGGGAAGAGGAAGGGTATAGTCTCAGGATTGTTATGATGGGCTGTCAATACTGAGGAAGAGTCCATTCCAGAACCCTAACCAGGATAGCAGGAGCCTTTGATTACTCTCCAACTCAGGGAGCCAGCAGGAGTCAGGCAGGGCCCATGTGAACAGAGAAAGCCCAAAGGTTCATAAAAGAAAACATGTTTGAGAGGAGGGAGATTCCAGGCCTAGAGCAGCCCAGGGGGATACGTATGGAGTTTCTGAGACAGGATAGCTGGGAAACAAGGTGTGGCCTGTAGCTTCCTCTGTAAGGCCCCCTCCATGTTGGTCATTTCTCAGGAAGTGAGATCTGCTTAGCAGCTCAGAGTCTGAGCCTAGGATTACTTTAATCTTTCTCACCTTACAAGAAAATGAGAACTAGAAGCTGGTGTCCACTGGCTTGTAGAATAGAGGCAAGGGGTAAAAACGGAGTCAGACATTCATGGGCTCTGTCCTGAGGAGGCATTCTTCATGATCAGGACACTGGGGCAGATTATAGATGGACATAGAGAAGCTCTCCCAAAGGCTCAGCATTTGCCAAAGGTAGGTAGGGTGAGACTCAAAGAGGGAGGAGCTCCCTGGAGGCACTCAAGCAGAGATTAGACTATTACTTGTGGATGATGACTGGCCTCAGTGACTGCTAATGCAGCATCTGATGCTGAAAGCTTATAAATATGAGTCAAAGGTCAGCTAAGGAGCAATTTTCTCAATAGCACCATATAATCCTCATGGTGGCAATGGACACCCTTCGTGAGGACCCCCCTCTGCAGAAAGGAGCCTGTCTTGGCACTACATTTGCATGCTACATACATCCCACTCACTGTTTGGTCCACATATCTACCTGGTGGAAATGCTGTTGCTTGGGATTGAGCTTCTGAGTCCTGGATTCACCCTCTCCCTATTTTCCTCAGGATCACGCTGTGACTGCATTTGCCCTGCTGGTTTCCAAGGCATAGCCTGTGAGGTCACCAATCGGAAAGGTAATGAGTCTTCCAAAGTTGCTTGGGTAAATAGACTCTGGAAAAATGTAGAGAAAGACTAAAAAGAACAAGAGCAAGGCGGGGTGTAGACTAGGGGACGGCCATTATGGTATTCAGGATCCTATCTGGCTCCTTCACGATTTTACTATTTGTACTGTTGACAGTGTGCCATGGTGTAGGACTGCTAATGTGTGACATTCCCAAGCCCTCTTGGGTTGTTGTGAAAAGCATATGTTCTTTTTGTATCATTCAACTTTCAAAATCCAGGATATGTGTATATATTTTTCCTCTGTAGAAACTCCTATAATATGGCCCATCCCTCAGTGGAATTAGTCAATTCCTGTTGTAGATGCCCACAGGATTTTGAAGATATGTACACATAGCCCTTTTCACATTGTATCTTCTCCCCTCCTTCTGTAAGTAATGCCATATCCCATTGATTTCTGTACCTCCTTGACTCAGGAACAGTTGTCTTTCAGTGATAGATAGTAATATAGATAGATAGATAGATAGATAGATAGATAGATAGATAGATAGATAGATGATGGATAGATGATAAATAAATGATAGACAATGTTGATGATAAATAGATAGCCTAATAAATTTCCCTTCCAACTCTCAAATTCTTTGCCCAGTCTGTCATCTAAGAATTATCAAGCTCACATTCCCCTCTCACTTTTATTCCTTCCCAAAACTTTTTGATGATACCCTTAAAATGGACATATCACAACTAACAAAGCATCTGTGCCCTTTTTGGTGTACTAGACACCTTAGCTGAGTTCCTGAATTCAGCTTGAGTTCAGATTTCATCACCATCATTTAATAACCCTGACTTGAACACTCAATCTCTCTGCATCTGTAAAATGGACATGATCCTACTTACTGCCTCACACAGCTGACTTAAGTTTATAAACATTCTTTGCAACAATCCCATGAAGTCAATACTGGTGATATCACCATTATAGAGAAGATGAAGACTAGTGGCCCACCATTCACAGTGAGAGCAAGAACCCAGATCCATGTTAGCAGGTGTGACTTAACTGCACAGCCTTTGAACATGTCCTTCTGCCTCAAAGTTGGCTTTGCTGTCTCCTCCTGCACCTCAACAAGGTCCCAAAGAGTGACCTGCTCAGAGTGTAGGGTCACATGACCACAGTGTTTCTGTTTGGAAGAGACCTCATAAACCATCCACTATAGCTATGCACCAGTCTCATCTGCAACCTAAGCAATCTTTAAGTAGACAACAAGCACCAGTGATATTCACCTCATTTAAAACATACCTTGTTCACAGTAGTTAATATAGCTCCCATACATGAGAAACTATTCAGCATCCTACAACTGTGAAGTATCTAATGTGGAAACTATCCATCTACCCATCCCCCTCCTATACTCACATCTGCCCATCCATCCATCTGTTCATGCCTCCGTCCACCCGCCCACCCGTTCACCATCTACCTACCCATCTATCCATCAACATGTTTACGCATCCATCCACCAGCCCACTCACCCTTCTATTAACACATTTATGCGTTCATTCTCTCATCCATCCTCCCACACTTGTACATGCATCTATGTGCCTACTTAGCTATCCATCCATCTATCCATCCACCCATCCACCCACCCACCGATCCATCCTCCTAGTATACAATACTTATTTGCAGAAGGCTCTGTATGGCAGCCTAGGTGCTGTGATTCACTGAAGCCAAATCTGGTATAGTCCCTGTCATCCCAAAGATTATGACGCAACAAGAAAGAATAATTCCATTTGAATTATTCCACAAACACATTGAAAGTTTCTATTCAATAGCTTCTACAAATGCTCTGAGAGATTAAAATACAGGAAAGTGGTGAAGATTAAGTTTCCCGAGCTTCTGTGAAGAAATACATGTTTCCTGAGATCTGAAGGGCCAATAGGATTGATAATGTCAATGGGAAAGGAACATTGTTTTCTTTGCTCTTTCCTACCATATTTGCATATTCTATGGTTATTCCTTTCCCAGGGTGCTCCCTGTTTAAAGTGGAGATATTGGGAAGTCAGATCCCAAAGCCTTTTGGCTAATTCACCCAACCCTACCCACCTTCCAGAACAAGAGAACTTAATAAGGACCAATGTGCACTCATTGTCTTTCTTTCTCATAGATGTCCCCATTGATGGGAGGTGGAGTTGCTGGTCTGACTGGTCTGCATGCTCTGGAGGACATAAAACAAGACAAAGGCAGTGCAACAATCCACTCCCTCAAAAAGGAGGCAGCCCCTGTTCAGGCCCTGCTTCAGAAACACTCGACTGTTAGAGAAGGGAGTAGACCCAGCTGGTGACCTGGCACAAGCTCTGGACCTCACACACTTTGCCAGGCTTACCACACATCAGCTCTCACCCAGGGCTGCCACAACAAAAGACAATGCCACCCTGTCCTTCAAAGATTTTAGTTTGTGCAATGCATGTTAATTTGAATAAATAGTGGGTTGAGCAAAACCCTAACTCCGTGCAAGGTAAAGCTTCTTTGTAAATCTCCATTTGCCCACTCTGCACACTTGTTAACCTCACATGGTCTAGGAGCCAGAAATTCTCTTGGTCACCATGTAGTGGCAAAGGTACATAGTAGATGTCTAATAATGAGACAGTAAATTGGTAAGGCGTTGTTCATCCCTTGGTAAGCACATAGTCTTGGTCAGTAAGAAAGACAGCTAGTCCCTATGGAATGATTTCTGTGTGCCACCGATCCATTCCCATGACAACCTTGCAACACAAATATAGGGGAAACAGGCCTGAGAGACTATAGAAACTTTCCCAGGTCATATAATTAAGTGGCAGAATTGTGCAGCAAATGGGGCTCCTGAATTTTAAATTCTTAACTATGAGGCTTGTCTCCTTTTCTGAATGAACATATGGTTAGCAAAGAGCTGTTCATGAAATAATATGCAGCAGAAAGCATGGGGTGTGTGTGTGTGTGTGTGTGTGTGTGTGTGTGTGTGTGTGTGTGTGTTTTCTTGTGCATTTCATAGTCCTGCCAAGCCTCTGCCTGTTGCCTTGTCAAGAGAGTGGCTTTGGGTCCCTTAGCTGCTTGATGCTCAGTAGAGGAAACAAAGCCTGTGGCAGTGGAAATCATGGGATAGATCTGGATGTTGGTCAGTAACATAACATGACCAGGAGCCAAGGGAACAGGATCACTGCAGGAGTAAAAAGGTTTACAATGGAAAGAGAAGCCAAGTCACGGTGGCTGGAAAATGGGTCGAGGGGCTGTTGGCTGTGGGGTGATATGCTCTGCAGCCCCACTCTCCCTCCTCTGAGAGATGGTCTGCATATTCCATTTTGCTCATTGGGCTTTTGTGCAAATACTACTTGGGGGGATAGGAGCTTGAAGAAGTCAATAGGATGGCGACTGATGTTCAGGTCACCGATATCTTTTAATTTTTTTTAAATACTAAGTGGTTAAGCTTTATATTTCTTATCCATTCCCTATTTTCATTGCTTTGTTTGCCCATGAGCTCATCTCCCTGATTGAGGAACTCCAGGTGAATTTCTTGAAATAAAATGGATGGGGAAAAACAGTTTGCTAGAGGTAAATTGATTCATCAGATTCATTTGCAATCAATTGTTTTCAGCCGAGTCACCTGCTTTGCATCTGCAGCAGCTGGATTTGGTGCTGGATCCTGAGAACTGAACACATCCATGGTACTGAAGCTTTTCTCCAGTCTGGCCTGGCCCGCTATCCTAGTGGAGTCAATAGGAAACAGGGAAGGAGCTGCGGACTCACTGCCTGGGGCAGTGGCAGGCAGCCTGGCAGTTCTGTCTGCCTTCCTGCATCCCCCGTCCCCTGCAATCGAACTGACGGGTCTGGGCCCTTGTTTAGCTTAATATTATTGCTTTGCTGTCTGCTGTTATTTCAACAGGATAATGCAATAATGTTTTATCTCTTTCATTATACAGAGGCCGTATAATTTTCTTGAGTTATAATCTATCTTCTTTTAAGATTCCCCCGAGACAAGGAAGAGCCACTCTGTCTTTGGTTGACGGGAGGCTCCCAGGAAGCTGACAGTAGCACATCTAAGCGAGCACCACCAAATTAAATTCTGAATCTCAATCACAGCCACCACTTCTAATGGGAAATTTGAGTTGATTATGGAGATGACAGCCCAGGTTCACGTTTATTGCATTTAGCAGAAATTGTTTATCCTATTAAATGTGGTCTTGAAGGAGAGACAATTGAATTGTGAAGCACCACTGAATACCCGGGTGACGCCCAGGCACTGCTAAACTGTGTAATAATTATATTCTTATTTGTGGGCTGAACTTCCCCACGTGGCTCTTTCTACAAACAAATGTGCTTAGGAGGAGGTTGAAACATAATGTAAGAATTAAACAAAATAAATGCAAACTGTGCTCTTGGAGTCTTGGCAACTGTGGTTCACCCAGGTATACTTGTGCTGAGCCAAAATGTTTTGTGGACAGAGCCCAAGCACTGTGTAGCAGTGTGGTTTACCAGTGTTCCTGAAGTGTGAGTACAGGTACAGCCCAAGAAACCTGTGTGTGAGGATGTTTGCATCCAAGAATAGGATCTTTAAAAGGCCATGAGTTCCTCTGAGCACTGAATGCCAGGGTAGGAGGCTTTCCCGAGTGACCTTGGGCTAATAGCATAACTTCTGTGGGGATAATAACTGTTATAATTACTTTAACAATAGTAATAATAATAATAGCTGCCAATTACAGTGTTTTCCAGTTTATGAAGTCTTTAACCTGAATTATCTGTTTAATTTTTATCTAAGTTTAATGGGATAGAATTTATGCAAGCAGCAGATGACAGAGAAGGTTTCAGATGGGATCCAGATCCTTACCAAGAATTCGAAGACTGCAGCAAGCGAGAGGGACTGCGGAGAGGAGGGAGCTCCCACGGGCTGGACCACGGGCAGAGAAGGGCCATCTGTGTCTTAAAAAGATCGCACTACAGCCAGGCAGTAGTGGCACATACCTTTAATCCCAGCACTTGAGAGGCAGAGGCAGGAGGATCTCTGTGAGTTCAAGGCCAGCCTGATTTGCAGAGCAGGTTTCAGGACAGCCAGAGCTAAACAGAGAGACCCTGTCTTGAAAAACAAAAAGAAGAACAAGACACTTCATTGCTCAAGCATTTATAGAAAATCTTTTGGGAGAGAGCATGCCTAGTGCAGAAAGCCTTTAGCAGCACCCTAGGGGATCTGAGTGCCCTCAATGATGGAGAAACACCCATAGAACCTTACACACAGCAACACAAACTTAACCTACTCACACCATCCATCTGACTCCACTTCAGATTACTACTTTAGGTTTGTCTTTTTTTTTTTTTAATTTTGGTGGTGGTGTGCAGATATACATGTGTGTTTGCCTGTACCTGTGCATGGCATGTGGTTGTCAGGTATTTTCAAAAGTCTATCACTTTTTTTATTTTTTAGATAGGCTCTGTCATTTGATCTGTGTGGTCTATTTTGTTTATGATATAACAAATAAAGCTTTCCTGGAGCTCAGAGTGTAAAGCTAGCTATACTAGTTAGCCATAGAGGCCAGGCAATGGTGGCACACACCTTTAATCCCAGCACTTGGGAGACAGAGGCAAACGGATCTCTGTGAGTTGTGAGTTCAAGGTCACCCTGAACCACACAAAATTGAATCTGTCTAGAAGAGAAACAGAGCTCACACAACTGTGATTCCACCACTTGGGATTACACGCCTTTAATCCCAGCACCAGATAGGTGGAGACAGGAGTTGATATGGCTGGGTGGAGGGAGGAATATAAGTCAAGAGGAGGAGGAGGAGGAGGGAGAGAGAGAGAGAGAGAGAGAGAGAGAGAGAATAGAGACTGAGGATTCATAGAGAGGAATGCAGTCTAGGCAGTCAGTTTTAGGAGCTTCAATCTAGGCAGTGTAAGCATTCAGTCTGAAGACTCATGGAGACAGGATCATCCATTCAGTCTAAGGCAGAGAGATAAGAGCCAGAGGCTGGCTGCTTTGCTTCTCTGATCTTTAAGCTCCCCACAGCCTAATATCTGACTCAAGGTTTTTATCATTAATACTGATTAGATCATGCTACAGATCTGGAACTCAGACCAGCAAGTCCTCCAAACCCTCCTGTCTCTGTCTACCCCTGACCCCAGCCAGTTCCAGGATTACAGGTGTATATCACCATGCCCAGCTTTTATGTGGTTGCTGGTAGTTCAAATTCACCTTACCTACAGAGCCGTCCCCAGCTCCTAGTTTGTCTAAAAGCCAGACTGATAACCTAACAGCAGCTTGTTGGAATACTACTGGTCAGCTCTTTGAGACACCCTGTTTAGTGAATGCAGTCCTCTCCTCTTTGAATGACCTACGCACCTTCAGTGCCAGCCAGATTTTTACCCTGAGGCATTCAAATGCTTAAGTGTCTGTTTATGGAGATAGAGGCATAATATCACACACCCTGGCTGAACCAGTGACATTGTGAGGAGAGGCAGCATAGCAGAGCATGCCACAAACATGTTCTGAAGCCAGTGCTGACGTCTTAGTCTGGGCTCGGTGACATATGGCTCTGAGGCCTTGAAGGAGCTCTGTTCAGCAGGTGCTGTTATCCCCATACCTCTAAGAAGAGCATGGCATATGTCTCCTTTGGGAGCAACAGAGGTGTTGTGTGGATCTCTGGGCCCAGAAGAGGCCCTGGGCCCAGTAAGCACTCTTTTCTTAAGTATGTCACCGCCATGATCATTTTCAGGGATTCTCAAACTATCCCTAAGAACCCAAGTTGTTGGTTTTCATTTAAAACTGCATTAAAGACATCTCAGTGCAAAACCCTCTACAACTTATGAGAATAAAAAGACATAAAATTGCTGAGCTTCTGGGGATATCTTAATAAAGGCCATGGAGGGCTTTTCTCTCCCAAGCTCTGAGTTATTAAAGGAAATGTAACAGCATAATAACTAATATTTGCAGAGACCATTACCAGTGACAAGGAACTCCACATACCTAATCCGGGCCTAATCCTCTCAGTGCCTTGGAGAGGCAGATTTATTGTCTGCCTGTGACAGGTGACAGGGCAGCCTCAGAGAGACAGAGTGGCTTCCCTGAGACCACACAGCTCCAAAGCAGTGGGTGCAGTCCAAGGCTTCTGTGACTCTCATGCGTAGTTTTCCACTATAAGTGAAGCAGACTCAGATTTGTCCCAGGGTAGACTATATATCTATGTACCCAACCACACAGAGCAAGGACTCTGGCCTGCCCTCCACGAAGAACACAAAACAGATGGATTTGGGGGCTCTTTGTGGTAGACAGAAGACCATTTTCTTCACCCAAG